AAATGAAAACAGTATTTATATCTGCTTCACAAATGAGTTCAAGCATTTTTGTAATTTTAGTTCTTAAAATAGTTTACCAATACCACTGGTTACAATGTGTAACAAAAGTAGTATGGTCTTTGATACAATTCAAGTGTATTGATCACTGTTGTCTAGCATTTAGAATCCCAGAAGTGGGTAGCAGGAGAAACATTCAGAAATTGGGTGTTGCATAAAGAACAACAACTTCAGTATCGGTTTAATCTGTCAAGGTGTTGCCTGAGGATAGCCAGAATTCAACATTAAAATTAGAACACAACGACAGATCGAACTAGGGATCAAGAATTAGTAGTCTTTTTTTTTTTTTTTTTTTTTTTTTGTCTTCAAATAGAAAACTGAATTGTCACAAGTTAATTTTCCATTATCTTATTGGTCAGAATAAACCAACCAATGAGTGGGGATACTGCAGATGCCTCCTCTATCACTTCATTGGTTAGAGCTCTCGACCAATCCATGGCTAAGATGATTCTCATATGAGTGGCCATCTTTAACATTGCAAGATTGCACTTAGTACCTGAATTTCTGAAGTAACCAGTTCTGATCACTTCTTTTTATAAAATCTCTAAGTCTATGGGCAAGAGTTGAAAGAATTGCTTAAAATGTTTTATTGACACCTTTTAACAATTCCTTCAAGAGAAGATGAACAAGAATCAATCATCAATTTATGAGAACAAAAAATACAGTACATGAAGTTGCTTGACCTGTTATGAAATTTTGAAGTAAATAAGATTTCTAGGGGTTTGGTTTTCAGAAATGCAATAGTCACCTACCTTCCTACACTCTAAAAAGAAAAATGTTTCACTGACTTTCAAAAGGCATGAAGGAGTAATAAAATAAAACTCAAGAACCCCTCAATTTTTCTTTCTACTTCATCCATCCTCTCTTTTTGTTTCACTGGCATTTCTTTTCATTTTTCTCCATATTTCTTACTTACCTTCTACTTTTCCTCTGCCACACATTTTTTGCTCCTTCTTCTCTTTGCCCTTGCTTTTCCCAATTCTGGTAAAATGTTTCAGCTTTAAATAACCCACAAAGGCATAAGAAGTTATAAAATACATATCGATCAATCAATTGCCAATTCTGCAAGTGGTGAAAAGTTTTTAATTTAATCAACTTCTCAAAATCAGATCAGAGAATCAAAATTAGATTTTTTTTTTTTTTTTTTTTTTTATTTATTTTGAAAGGACTTCTTTGTCAGGCCCAAAACTTTCACCACAATCTTGTGTGATATATATATATATAAATAAATAATGTCAAAGTGGAAAAGTTTTCTTGCAACACATTTCATCTTTTAGGACTTCATCCAACTAAATTTTTTATGTTGGTGTGACTACACATGCGCACGAATGAAGGATGCTGGAAATTAAAAAGATTTTTTTTAATCTAGCCGATTCGTTTAGATTCTTTTCTTTCCATTACTCTTGTTAGTTGATACCCCATACTTTGATAATAGAAGTTCTATCAGGAATGATGAAATGTTGTAAGAACCAGGGTGCAAATTTCCTCGAGATGATCTTGTGATCAAGGCACTCTCTAGACATTTTCAATGTACTGGATAGTTTTCTCCTTTGACCACAGTAGCAACTTTTATGTCAGTCTCATTACCCAAAGGAATCTAAGTAAAAGGTTATATGAACATAAAAGGGACATTTTACAAAACAATACATCAAATACATTCATTTCCCACTGTAATGAGACTGAGCACAATTTTGATGTAAAAAGAATATGAATGAATCGATCAACCTTGTTCTTTTCTACTGCCTTGGTGTTCACTCTGTTGCTCTAATAGTCCACCTTTGTCTTTGAGGCTAGAGATGTGGCCACCCACCCCATTTATGGTTGTTCTTGATATTCTTGATTATGTCCTTCACTCCAGTTAGCTGTCAAATCCAAATGTGTTGCTCTTCCATTCATGTAAGGTGATGCTAAGCATGATTCACTCAATTTTACTATGGAAGACATTAATGGGTTATAGAAACTAGTAAAGAATGCCATCATGTGTGCATAAATCACCAAATATTAGCACATTCATAAAAAAGATTAATTTTCAAAGAATATTTTAGATGTTTTCTATGTCATATGAATGTTTACAAGTTTTATGTCGTCTTGGTAGCATGAAATGATCTATGTCCTGAAAAATGTTGCAGAATTAATATTCTTTTCTGTCATTCATTTGAATTATTCATTAACACGACAAACTGATTACTAGCCTAAGGTTATTGTATTTAAAGGTAAACCTGTGAATATTAATTACTTTTTGGAAGATTTCTATCAAATACAAACATGTTTTACAATGTCTCATTGTGATATTAATAGCCATAATGTGTTCAGACAGGATGCTTAATGCTTGTGATATTGTGCCCAAACTATGATAAAGTTAATAACAACTATGGTCTTCATTGTGATATAATGGTTAACAAGTTGGTTTCACCAATCATTATGATGGATTCCTCTTCCTCTGTGTACCATCTTTCTTCAAGATGTGTGTGATAATGGCTCTTCCCAATTTCCTGTCTTTTGTAGCTCTTAGTAAAGTTTGTCTTTTTGCTCTATCTCCTAATCCATTTTCTGTCATTTATTTCTGCAAGCTCATTTGGTAGGTTATGTGCTGTTTTCCTCTATCTCTCTTGCCTTCAATATGTCCTTTGAGTATCAAATTTTCTAAGCCCTCTTTCCTCATTACATACCCAAGAAATGTTTAACTATCTCTTTCTGATGTTAAGTGTAAGTATTCTGTTTTATATCTATTTTTTCTAAAACTTTGTCATTGCTCACATGTTCAGTCTATGATATTCTCATTATCCTTTTGTAGACCCCCATCTCTGTTGTCTCAAGTCTCTTTTTTATCTGCTGTCCCACAATGATTGTTACATTTAGTGTATAAAATTTGTATGCAAAGGTATCAACTATTATAGGACAAAAGTAGTAATATAATTCTTATTTGTCTACTCCCTTGTATATTAAATGCAAATATCAGCACAATTAATTAACTTCCTTCAAGGTATGATGCTTATTTGGTATGTGACGCTTACTATTTTTTCAAATAATTTTCTCAGCGAAAAATCAAATCCCTGCTTATTTTTTTAAGTTGAAAAATTCCTACCAAGATGACTATTTCAGACATCACAATTCTTTTATGTCAAAGAGTTTCACCCCAAGCAAGGCAATAAAGCCTATAAGATGCAAGTGGTTACTGAGTGTTAGAGAATATGAGAAAAAAAACCTCTATTAAGAAGAGATAATGCTAAAAGAACAAGAATTAAGAAGACAGAAGATAATGATTGACATTGCATTTAAATTTTTGAAGATAGAAACTTAGTTACATCTAGCTATTTCAACTGTAAAATGATGAGGTTACCAATTTGGTAGACCATCAGAACAATTACCATGAAAGTATTTATAGAAAAGGCCAAGGGAAGCTTATTTGGTATTGAATCCAAGATGCCAGATTTTTACCTTCTTTGGATTTTTAAAAGAATCTCTAAATATATCAAATCATCATTCCTTCTTCTCAGTTCAAAACTCCATTGACAATCTCTTTCCACTGTTCAATCCTGCATTGCTCCCATCCTATATTTTATATATAAATATATAGCATGAGCACCAGATCAGATATGGCAGCTATATTCAAAGCAAGGATGAATAGTGAACTTATAAATATGCATTTCCACTGCATTGTTTGAATTGTTGTCCTTATCTTTATTGTCATATTCACAATGTTTCAGCCATTGGACACTCCCACATTCTTCAGGTAATATACATTGGAATTTCAAACCAAATACTTTATTTAGTCCATTGGGGTAGATTGTTCTAGATCCCCATGCCATGCCTTTTCTGGATATCTCAGTTTCAGTTATTTCCCTTTAGTAACTCAACTCTCCAATTTTTTATCACCTCCGCTGTGGCTAGATATTGAACTCACAGCTGTTTGGGTCAAGTCATTGTATTACTTCAACTAATGCTGGGCCATGTAAGCTATGTTCTTATGAGGAAAAACTGTCTACCATGACACAGTGAACAAACTTTCCTAGCAGCAGACTTAGCAATTGATTCAATATAATCTTTCCACTTCATGTCACTCTCCCGGGGGTTAGCATCAGTCATGCTAATGGAAAGTAAAAAGGGTTCTCTAAGATAGCAGTTTTGTTTTGGTGGCATTAAAATTAACAAGCCATTCCTTATCCCAATTGACAACAGAACATACATCATTTTTTCTATCACATGTCAGTTCTTACTTTTAGTGTATACAATTTGTATGCAAATGCATCAACTATTATAGGACAAAAGTAGTAATATTTTTTAATGGTTATATTAATGGTAATATTTTTTTAATGGTTATATTAATGGTTAATGGCAATATGTTTTAATACTCTCTTGTATATCAAATACAAATGCCAGCATGATTAAATGATTTCTTTCAGTTTCCCTTCCCCCTGTACATATTTATGGCACATATTTCAAATAACTTTTTTGTGGCCCAATTATTTTATTCCAGTTTATTAAACTTATTCTCATATTTTGTAAATTGAAAATTCTTGACTGACACAACTATTCCAGATGTTGCTTATATTTACTACAAAAGTGCAACATGAGATGCAGATCAGAAGATTGAAATCTAATCCTATAGATTTGTTCTCAATTTTTCTCTGTATGCTTCATCTTATCATTTTCTTTTGTTTACAGATACTCATAGTTATCATATTGTTTTGAATTTTGTTTCCAATGCAAGAATTCTCTTATTCTTCACAATATCCAAAAAGAAAAAAATTGTTTTCTCCAAGCCAGTCTATTTGCCATTGGCATCAATATCTGAAGGGCATCTCAGTGCTCGGAAAGGAGCACAATGCACAAGTTCTCCCTACAGGCACTGATTTCATTTTCTTGACGATTACAGAAGTGCATATATAAAAAGCTTATTTTGGGCCTTTGCTCAATTGTTCTGGGCTTACAACCACATCATATTCAAACACTGGTTCCCATAAAATTACTGAAGTTAAGCAACATTGAGCTTGGTCAGTACCTAGATAGGTGACTGCTTGGGAATACCAGTTGCTGTAAGCTTTGATAAGTGGGTGTTGTAACGGATAATAGCTCAGAGTTTTTAATCACAGAACTGTGTTCTATTTTCTGTTGGGTTCTTTGTATTTACTTACACTCAAATACCCTTGGGAAAGGTATGAATCCATTTTTTCTTTCCCCAGCTATGGGTTAATTAGTAAGACTTGTATCAATAAACCATTATTAACCCCCGCCCAGTATTTTCTTGGCTTTTAAATAACCTGCAAAGGGTTGATATGCCATAAAAAACAAAATCAATCAATCAGATGTTCTCATTGACTTTGTGTTTTTTTAAATAATAATATTCAGTTCAACATATTTCCATCTCTGTTATTTTTTATATAATTTGTATGTTTTTTGTCTAAATATTGAAGAAAAACAATCATTATTATACATTAACTTAGTTGGGTTAATGTCTACACCTTGTCTGTTATGATCACAGCTTTTTATTTTCCCATGACCAGGTGTCATCATAAAGTTGCTAAGGACCTAACCATTTCCTCCACATATCTGGGCTGAAAGCCAGAGGGGTATTAAGTCATGTTAGAATATCTTTAGCATGTAGACCTGGTCGAGCCAATCCCTCTCCAGTTCAAACCATAACCAATGTCATCCAACTTGAAGGCTCACCTTGATCATGGACACATGTCTATTGATTCCATGAAGGGAACCCTCAGCTCTGGCTTTTGACTCCAGTATAGGAACCACTTCATCCAGTTATGCCATGTCATCAAGGCACTGGCTGCATACATAGTTATGGACCACCATCTACCCAATTGTCTTAGGTGGCTGTTGACTCTACAAGACACTTCATCTGCCCTTTGACAGGTTTTGTTTTTAATCCTCTTGGGTGTTTAGCCACCCTCATCAACAGAAAAGCATGGAGGGGGAACTGATTTAGTTACTGATGACTTGACCATGCAGAAAATACTAGTGGATTACATGATACCACTAGCACTTGTAAACAACTTTTAAGCGATAAGGCAGTTGAAAGACTTGGTGCTCTAAAAACCTCCTTAGTAGACCCAGCATAGAAACAAATACCATATAGGGAGACTAAGAAAAAAAAAAAAAAAACCTAAGACTAAAAATTCTCCTTTCTCTATATGCAGTGGCTTTTCATAGTCTCATGCTCTTTCATACTCTCATAAAATCAGTTCTGCAGACAAGCAAAATTAGGTCTAAAGCACCAAGTTTTCACCACTGGATGTGCCTATGTGGCACTTGGTGTAGTGGATAAGGGGGAGGGGGGTAAAAGTGGTTAAGTTTAATCTCTGAGTTAAATATTGCAAATAATCATATAGTTCTGTTCAGTTGAATCAACAAATGACATCACATTGATAAATGAGAGCAGTCTGAGTGCTGCGGATTGAATAAAGTGTTCAGTTAGAATGGCCAACAGGAAGAACCAGAAATATACTCAGGTGCCCAATGAATACAACCTGCCTCGCAGCCTGCACTTGTTAATTTTTAGATTTTCCCATCCATCTACTCTTCACTTATCAGGAACCCTTGCTTATTAATTTTTGACTTTTTTTTATTGGCATTTATTTATTTACATGTGTTCTATTATCCTTATCTTTGTTGTTTTTATCACAGTTTTTTTTTTTTTTTTTGTACCTCTGATTTTCATCAGGTGTTTGTCAGTCCAGATAAGCTACAGGGAATTTCAAAGTGAACCCTTTATTTAAACTACAGGCGTAAACTGTTTTCGTTTCACTGCCCATAGGGATATCTCATCTAGTGCTTATTTTTATTTCATTATGATGATTGCTCACCGTTTCTCACTGAGTCCACAATGTCTGGCCCAAGGATTGAATTCACAATTACTTTACCACCAAATTCACAAACCAACACTTTAATCTACTAGTTAAAATGAACTATTGGATTAAAAGGTTGATGGGACTATAACCTAGTGAGTTAAAGCATTTGTTTGTGAATTTGATGACTAGTAATTGTGAGTTCAATCCCTGGTCCGGGTCGTATGGTATTTCTATTCAGTGGCAAGCAATAAGTAAGAAGTACTAAAAAAATAAGTCCTAGATAAGGCATCCCTAGACATGGGCAGTGAAACGAGAACAGCTTACCACTATAAATTAAATAAAGGGTTTGATTTGGAATTCCCTGTAGTTTACCTGGGTCAACATATGCCTGATGAATGCTCAATAACTGAAACCTTGGTATAATAATAACAAAGATGAGGTTTACATTCTACACATAAATAATAACTCCTTGTCTCAGAAATTCAGATGAGCATATATTATTCTGTAACGTTGGTAAAATTTCATGGACATTTTTCTAAAGCTTGTTATTTAAAAACAACAATGGACATTTAGTTTTATTTCTTCAAGATTTTATCATTTGAAAAACTTGTTCTGAATCATTTCCCAGCTCCCCGCCCATCTATTGAAACCTCTGCCTGTTTATTAGATTTTCTCATTTTGTTCACTCTCACACCATTTATTACTGGAACCAGCAGTCATTTCTTGTGAAATATATCCGCAGAGTTATATCAGTTAGTCTGTAACATAATGATTAAAAAAGCATTTATTTTTCAACATAATCTTCTTTATTGTCAAGGCACTTAATTCATTGTTTCACCATTAATCACATATGTCAGTACACAGATTGTTCTTTTTCCCTTGCTTTTTCCTTCATTTTTGTTCTCTGGTCACTTTCTTCATTATTGTATTCTTTCTCTATGCTATTCCTTTTTCTGCTCCCCAACTTCTTTCTCTTCACTTCCTTCTCCATCTTCTTCCTTTTTTTTTTGTATCTCTCCTCCTCCTTCCTCTTTTGTCTTCTTTCCTTCTCTTGTGTCCTCTCCATTCCATCCTTTTCTTTTGTATCTCTCCCCTGCCTCCTTTTTCTCTTTTGTCTTCTTCATCCTTCATTTTCTTTTTCTTTCATTCTCTTTCTATTTCCTTTTCCTTCTCCATCAATTTCCTTTTCTTCTGTCTTTCTCCTCCTCCACTTTCCTTCTCTTTTGTCTTCTTTTTCCCTCTTTTTTTCTTTCTTCTTTCTCTTTACTCTTCCTTCTCAGTCCACTTCCTTTTCTTTTGTCGTCTTTCTCCTCCTTGCCTTTCTTTCTCCTTTTTTCCCCTTCCTTCTCCTTCCTCTTTGTTTTCTGTCTCCTTCTTTCTCCATTGATTTCTTTCTTTCTCTGTTGCATTTCCTCTATCCAATCTTTCTTTCTTTCTTTCTCTATCCTCTTCTTTCCCTCCATTTTTTTTATCCTTCTATTTCTTTATCATATTCTCTTCAGTTCTTCATTTGTTATTATTATTATTATTATGTATAATTGCTCTGATTAATTAATTAAATTTGGTAGATCTAACATTTCCATTTCTTTTCTTGGAAATTATCAAAAATTAAATCTAATCGGAAGAAGGAAAATTTAAACAGCCTGACAAGGATGACAAAGTTAATATCCTGATTGAAAAACGATTTTACTTTATTTTTTAAATATATTTCCTGACCAAAAACTTTTCTTTGATTCTGAATCATTGAAGACATCAATCTGGAAATAAAGTAAATTCTCTAGAAAAAAAAAACAGAAATGCCTGATATGATTTTTCTTTTTTTTCTTTCACTTTGGTCTTTGTCATTGTCTATCACGTTAGGATGAAATCAATTTTGGCCTCTTCTGGAGAGACGTGAACTAATCAATGTTAAAACTGTATTGTCCTCTATACATTTAAAATTTTTCTACTCTGATGAATTTTTTTCTCTCATCGAAGTATTCCTGCAAGCAGATTATTTAAATAGCTGATTCATAATATTATAAAAAAAATTTTCCTTCTACACGTCCTTCCATTAATATATCTTGTGAGTGTTGAATTTTCCAAGCTCTCTTTCCTCATAATGTAGCCCAGAAATTTCACTTGTCTCCTTTTGATTTTAATTACTAGTGTCCTAGTTCCCATTTTCTTCAGAAGATCCTCATTGTTCACGTGATCTGTCTGTGGTATTCCCAACTTCTGTTTGGAGAACCACATCTCTGTTGTTTCATGTCTCTTCTTCATCTGTCAGAAAATTGTTCGCCATTCACAGCCACATAAGAAGATAGATATGATATAACAGTTTTGCATTCTCTTTGTTTCTAATGAGATTTTCCTGTCCTAATACTGTCCTTCATTTCTGGAAGGCGTCTTGCTATTCTGACATGCTTTCTGTATTGTATTGTCTGTTGTCTCTTACTACATCACCCAAATAGTTAAATTTCAACACCTGCTGAATTCAAAACTTACACCTTTTTCTCTTTTGGTGATGACCACACATTCTTACAGTTAATGGATTGTTCTTGTTTTCCTTTGCCAATTTGTAGCTCACACCTTTGGCTGTCTCTTTTGCTGACAATCATACATTCTATCTTCATACAGTTAATAGTTAGTCCTTTTTTCTTGCTTTCCTTCACTCTCATATCTAAAAATCTTTCAAGATCTGAGTTCACCATCAACACAGTGACATTTGTGTATCTTATGTTGTTCAGATTATATCCAAATAGGTCTTCTTAGGATCATCTTGCTGTAAAGGTTAGGTAAATCCTTTTTGAAAATTTACATGCAAAAAATAAAGATAGGATTTTTAAAACTTACTAAAATTTCAAGTAATGTCACTCTTAATTCAGTATGATTTATGGATGACCTTAAGGGATCAAATGATGTGCTTAAATATCATTTAATCATTTATGTCCATCCATACTTTTATATAGAGTTAGGTGAAGTGGAAATAAGCAGACTAAAGTAGAAAGCCATGCAGATAGTGCCATTAATTGCAACTGCAACTGGCAATGTGTTTTGCATTTGTGCTCACTGCTTTTATTGTATTTGTGGAATAACATCATTCAGTGGACAAAAAAATCATCTAATCAAATTGCTCTAGGGAAACCATTATTGTCCAACTTTAAAAAAAAAATAATTTCATCAAAAGTCATTTCCATTCATAAAAGTTTTAAGAATTTCTCACAGGAAAGAAATACATTTTGCAAAAAAATCTATG